ATCGAACTTCAAAACCGACTGTAAATGGGAAACCATGTATGGCTTCTGAAATGAACTTCATTCTACGAAAGCCAATAGCTTTTGTGACAGATGGGTCTCTTAACCATCTTAACGGGTAGTCAAAACGATAGCCTTCATGCTTTACGGTCTCTGTCTCAAACTTTTGACCGACATTCGTAAAAAGTTCATCTAATGGTTTAGTTGTAGCAACTCTTGAATTTTCTTTTTCTATTGAAAGCATATTTTATCTAGAATAAAAATGTCAAATGAAACAGCGTCTATGAGAGAAATACAACACAACCGACAACTCATTATACAAGCTCTAAATAAGAACACAACAAACTTTTCAAACTATTCTAAGATATCTGAGTCATTGAAAGAAGGAAACTTAAAACTGACATTAAACCCAATGACAGATGAGTTTCTGTTTCAAGACAATAAGAACCATACTGTCTGTATAAATCCAACAAAAGGAACTTTAAACGAGAAACCTATAAATGAACTTCTTTTGAAAGCAGATGTTGGCAACAAAGCTGACAAAGAATATGTAGACGATGCAATAGCAAAAGAAGAAGAAAGAGCTAACAAAGCTTATGCAACAAAAGAACATACTCATCCTGAACTAGCAGACAAAACATATGTTGACAATAAAATGTCAAGTGAAGTGACAAGAGCTGAAAACGAATATTCTAAAAAGACTCATATACATTATATTAACCAAATACCAAGTCTTAAGGAAACATTAGAGACAAAAGCAGATAAGACTCATACACATTCTATATCTGATATTACAAACTTACAAGAAACCTTAAACAGAAAAAGTGCCGTTGGACATACACATTCTATATCTGATATTACAAACTTACAAGAAACCTTAAACAGGAAAAGTGCCGTTGGACATACACATACTATATCTGAAATAACAAACTTACGAGAAACCTTAAACAGGAAAAGTGACGTTGGACATACACATACCATTGCAAATATTGCAAACTTACAAGAAACCTTAAACAGGAAAAGTGCCGTTGGACATACACATACATCTTCTGAAATAACAGACTTAAACGTTAGCCTTGAAAATAAAGCAGATAAAACATATGTCAATGAAATATACCAAAGTTTAGTTGGAACAAAAAATATTGAAACTATTGTTGGTGACTTTTCTTTCAATGAAGAAAACAAATATTTTAGATGGCAGTTTGTACATTCCTTAAAAAATGGTATACGGTATAAACTCATTCCGAAAAATAACAATGAAATGTATGTAAGCTATAAAAAGAACGATGGTACACAAGTTAAAGTTCCATTAGACAACAACTGCTACTTAAACTTATATGGAGACGAACAAAAGAAATATTTCCGAGTTTATGAAATGACAGATATGACATTGCCTGACCCAGCTCCAGCACCATACTATTATGACTATGGAGATGACAACAGAACACCACATGTAGATGAACAAAAGCTAACATTATATTTAGATTTTTATAGATATAAAAGATATAATGCAATAGAAAAAACGAGAATAGTATACTATTATGAAGATGACAGAAATAAATATTATAGTCAAGATTTTACCTACCCTGAAAACATAAGATTATATTATAAAAAATATTCTGACTTAAACCAGAAGAAACCTGAAATAGTTGCACTATATTTTAAGTTCAAAAGAGACAATCCTATAATATCTCATATGTTTGATTTAATGAACCCAGTAGGTTCTATTTATACATCTATGGAAGCAAGAGGTCCTCAAGTAATGTTTGGTGTTGGTGCATGGGAACAAATAGTCGACAGGTTTTTGTATTGTGCAAACTCTTCAAAGGAAACAGGTGGAAGTAAAACGATTTCAGGTGAAAACTTACCTGCGCACAGTCACTACATAGATTTAAGTACATCTCAAGCAGGTTGGCATAAGCATAGATATTGGGATTGGTCAGGAATGACAAAAGGTAAAGGATATGATGTTAAAGACGACGTTAAGTTTGCTATAAATTGTTACTGGAGTGACACTCAGGGAGAAGGAAACCATACACATTTCGTTTCAGGATATACGCAAACAACGGGACAAAGTAAAGACTACATGCCACCTTACATGACAGTTTACGCATGGTATAGAATTGCTTAGTCGTCATTTTCAACTTCTTTAGCATATTCGTCAGGAGTTGTCTTATATTTGTTAGGAACTGTCTTTGAAAGTATACCACCTTGAACTTTGACAAGTTTGAAACGAGGTCTGACAATAGTAGTTTTATCTTCTGCTTGCAGTCTCTACATTTTGCCATGTTTGCCTAAAACTTCATAATATTCTCTTGTATACTTTCTTCTATTTTTACGAACACGAATGTGAGTACCTGTCGGTTCCCATTGTTGTCATAGTCAATAGTATTTTCATATGGGTCGCGTTTAGGTATTTCTATTTTTACTTTGTCACCTTTCTGAAGTTTGAAGCCCGGCATTCTTTCTTGTTTGTCTCTTTTGACTAAATTATTAAATATATAGTCTTTCTCTAAGTCAGGGTTGTTTTTCATTTCTTCGGGGGAGTGGTTTCCCAAACCTTTTTGTTTACGGTTATTGTAAATATTTAAAACTTGTCTCATTTTGCCATGGAGAAGTGTCTATATTTGTCGTCATATGACATTTCATTTGCTTCACCACCTTGTGGTTGGTTTAAGTCTCTTAACATTTTTATACAACCGTCAATGACACCAAGAGCAGAATGGTTTTGGTCGACAATGAAATATTGGTTTACATTTTTTGAAACGCAGATTAGTTTTTAATATCGTCTGATTTGAAGAAGACTTTCACAGTCAGATGTCAGTTTTGTTGGATGGTATTTGTCAACATAATATTGTCAAAGCTGCTAAGATATCTAAAATATTTTTGGACTGTAATGTATGCTTCACAGTATCTTGTGTTTGACCGACAAATATTAGCCAGTATGGTGGTCATCTTCTCTATACCTCGGAATGTTTCCAAGAATCCATAAACCAAGCTTTGTTGAACTAAAGATTTTTACCATGAGTGCTTTCTTTGTCGCTTGAGAAACATAGGGGTCCTTGTTTGGATTCGTCATTTTTTATCCTATAAGAAATGGGTTTATTTGGCGCGTTAGCAGGAGTTGCATCCAGATTTTTGCCCGCATGGAACAATAGCCAGAGGTGTATTTGGAGTTGAAGGAAGATTTGAGTACATTAGTATACTGAAAGAGAAAGCACAACCTATTATACAAACTGTACAGAAAGGTTGATGTAGCACGAGATGCAACAAATCTTATTCCAAATCCTGAAACAAGAGAAAAGTTCAAGGATGGATGGACAATGTAGGGAAGACAAGCAGGAAACTATTATAACAAAGCAAATGACTACTATAACCAAGCAGACACTATATGGACCAAGGTGAAAGATTCTTTAACAGAGGATATAACCATGCACAACAATGGTAAACAATAACCAACCTCAACCGCCTCAAACGTGGGAATGTAAAGTTTTTTACTGAGATGAAATGAACAATACAGCATTGAGACAAATGGGTTCAAGATGGATTGTCGCTTCCAGCAGTTACACAACGTGTTTGTCAAGTTCTTCCTATACCTCAGGAAGTTTTAGACCGACTTAAAAAACACTAAACAACCAGTTGAAAACAAACCAAACTAAATTTTTTTACTGAGATGAAATGACCGAAGAAGTTGAAACGGTAATTTGACACCACAAACAAAAAGTTCAGAACCATTGTCAAAACCGTCAAAGAACTTACAGATGAAGAAAAAATTCAATAATAGAAAGTGCCATCTGGAAATACAAACCCTAACTACAAAGTCACTTTTCATAAAAATGGAACGGCTAGTATCTCAAAAAGAAACAGACTCTCACAAATAAAATATTGAAGTCTGAAGGAGCTTTCGAGACAACAGATGGAAAAGTTTACTTCACTGACCAACAGTTCATTATAGAACATCTCATTGACTTAGAGTCGAAATATTCTAAACTTTACAACAAACACAAAAAGTTGAAAGGAAAACAAAAACAATGGCATATGATATTTATGAAGATGTTGACGACACAACTGTTCCTGCAAGTGAAGTAAAGTCAGAGGAACCAAAAAGTGACGAAAAACCGATAGAAGAAGAGAACCAAAAACTGAAGATAAACCAAAACCAAAGTTTAGTTTTCCAAACTAAAACCAAGTCAACCTTCATTAGCTGGTATGGGTTGGCGTCAAAGACTTATGGCAGCAGGCGGTTATGTAAAGTAAAGAAAAAAATATTTTTTTATTTTTATAAAAATGTACGCTGAGTTTGTTGGAGAAGACCGTTGGGAAACTTGTTTGTTAGATGAGAAATATGAAATGGCATACCATTTTAAAACCATATATTTTTACATATATTAAATGCTTCAGGTTGAAAAACAAAGAACAAAAGTAGCAGATACAAAACCGTTAGACTATATCTTTACAAATGCTGGTATGACTATTTCAGATGAAGAAATTTCATCCCGAGCTTACAGGTTTGACTATCCAATTCGTTGGCTTCAAAGTCCTTCAGATGCAAAGGCAATAGGATTTGAAGAGTTTTGTTTTCAAATAGAACTAACGCATTATGTTCGCAGTATATTTTCATGGGCAGTATAAAGGTTCTGATGGTCTTATAGACAAATTTGATGAAATGAGGATCTTTACAGTTCGTTCAGACGAAAGTCTTGAGAAAACTCTAAATGACTTTCAAACTCAAATAAACAAATACTATTGGGAATTTCAAGAAAATTACGACTCTTTACTAAATGGAACATACTATCTGAAACTAGAATATGACAAGATGAACTCCACCGTTTCATTTCAAAAGATTGAAATTAACCCTCCAAGAGATACAGAGTTTTTATTTTGGGGAGTAGACAAACGTTCTTGGGCACAATTTCTTCGGTTACTAAACCAGAACGAACCATTACCACCAGATGGTCCATTCAATTTATACTTCCACCAGCAGATTTGACAGTTTATAGAAATGTGTTTGACCCTCAAAATGTTATGTGTCATGCAAGTTTCAGTTCAAGCAACAATAGTTTTCTATGTATTGGTAAGGACGTTTATGACTTTGCTTCTAAATTCTACGAACCACCTAGTAAACAGTTTCTCTGACTTTCAAGTTTGGTTCACAACAAATGGTGTGCAGCATATAATACCATTGTACTATGACTTTTATCTCGAATTGTCTTTCATATATAACTACGGAAAAGTGCTGAAAAAGTATTGAAAAATATAATTTAGGTGAAGAGGTGAGATCTCACCTCTTTTCTCACCTGTTTTTTCACCCGTTGAATTTGTCATGAATTTCCTTAAGATAGAAAAAAAGTGAGTTAAAATGAGATGTTTACTGAAGGGGTCCCTCGGTCCCTCGGTCAACTAACATCTTTTTGAAAATGGTGACAACATGACATTTTGACAACAGTCCAGGAAATAAACTTCATCGTATATGTTTTGTCATGATTTCATCGTAAATGTTTTGTCATGACTTCATCGTAAATGTTTTGTCACCCGTTGAATTTTGTATAAAAAGCAACCCGCTGTTTTCCGGCGGTTGGTATATTCTTCACAAAATGCTTGTTTTGTCAAGACTTCTTCGTCAATGTTTTGTCAAGACTTCTTCGTCAATGTTTTTGTCATGATTTCTTCGTATATGTTTTTGTCATGATTTCATCGTACATGTTTTTGTCAAGGTTTCATCGTACATGTTTTGTCAAGGTTTCATCGTAAATGTTTTGTCAAGACTTCTTCGTACATGTTTTGTCAAGACTTCTTCGTATATGTTTTTGTCATGATTTCATCGTACATGTTTTTGTCAAGGTTTCATCGTACATGTTTTGTCAAGGTTTCATCGTAAATGTTTTGTCAAGACTTCTTCGTATATGTTTTGTCAAGGTTTCATCGTATATGTTTTGTCAAGGTTTCATCGTATATGTTTTTGTCAAGGTTTCATCGTATATGTTTTGTCAAGACTTCTTCATCGTAATGAGCGTAAAGGACCCAAAAATAAAGTTTAGGTGAAGAGGTGCGATCTCACCTCCTTTTTCACCTGTTTTTTCACCTGTTGAATTTTCATGACTTCTTCATCGTAAATGTTTTGTCATGACTTCTTCGTAAATGTTTTGTCAAGACTTCTTCGTATATGTTTTTGTCAAGGTTTCATCGTATATGTTTTGTCAAGGTTTCATCGTATATGTTTTTGTCAAGGTTTCATCGTAAATGTTTTGTCAAGACTTCTTCATCGTAATGAGCGTAAAGGACCCAAAAATAAAGTTTAGGTGAAGAGGTGCGATCTCACCCCCTTTTTCACCTGTTTTTTCACCTGTTGAATTTTCATGACTTCTTCATCGTAAATGTTTTGTCAAGGTTTCATCGTATATGTTTTTGTCAAGGTTTCATCGTAAATGTTTTGTCAAGGTTTCATCGTATATGTTTTTGTCAAGGTTTCATCGTATATGTTTTTGTCAAGGTTTCATCGTATATGTTTTGTCAAGGTTTCATCGTAAATGTTTTGTCAAGACTTCATCGTACATGTTTTGTCAAGACTTCATCTTCGTATTCTTTCACCCGTTGAATTTTGTATAAAAAGCAACCGTCGAAATTCTGGCGGTTGGTATATTCTTCACAAAATGCTTGTTTTGAGGTCGAGCCACTTTTGGTTCACCGTATTTTTCAACCAAAACTCATGAATTTTCCCGAAATAAAAAATAAAGTTAGTTTTTTTAAAAAAATATTTTTTATTTTTATTGTAAGAACATGTTAGCAACAACAGCACCAAACTCGTTAGTCATGAACCCAACATCTATGTTAGTAGAGATGAAAAGCTTCATTCCTTCTTCATATACTTTCGAAACAGAAATCCAGAAGATAAAGCAGGAACTTCTCCAAGGAGATTTAGATTGCACTGCAAAAGATGAAACAAATGAAGAATATCTTTATGAAATGGAGGACCTCATCGACCATCTACCTAAACTTCCTGAAATACAACAACAAAAGCTCACTATTCCTGAATTCGATGAAATAGAAGTCAAAGCAACCGACTCGGTAGAAATAAAGAAGTTCATTCGTAAGGTAAACTATGAGTTTCTTGGATTTCATTGCAACCACAAAGTCATGGACAAAGACTGCGATATGGTATATAAGAACATCTCTGACATATATAAATCTGAAGAATTTAAGACCTACGACAACTTTGTTTCGTTAGTTGCTGAATGTGTATGGCAGATAAGAGATAAAGATAGAAGAGGTAAAGTATGGAACGAACAAATAAAACCCGCAACTTTTGAGTTAAAGAAAACCATTGACGCTATAGTTGTACTTGCAGGTAAGGTTTCAGAATATAACGCAAAAATGAACCCACAATGTTCAAAATGTAAAGCAGCAATGAGGAAATATAACTACTCCGTCAAAGAGATAGAACGTATGCGAAACGACTATGCAGACTTAAAGAAAGAAGCAGAAAAGCCAGCAGAAGATAAAATGGACATGTTGACATTTCTAAACAAAAACTATCCAACAGCTGACGATTTCCTTCTTTCAGATGTCAAGAAGAAATATAAAGATACATTCAATATTGTGAAAACTTTTGACATACTGACAGAAGAAATAGAAGCCACAAAATTGTTTAGAATTTCAAATATACATCGTACAATTCATGTAAAACGCTTGTGAAAAAAGAGGTGAAAAAACAGGTGAAAAAACAGGTGAGATCGCACCTCTTCACCTAAAATATATTTTTGTCTGATTTACGCTCATTACGATGAAGAAGTCTTGACAAAACATGTACGAAGAAGTCTTGACAAAACATGTACGAAGAAGTCTTGACAAAACATGTATGAAGAAGTCTTGACAAAACATGTACGAAGAAGTCTTGACAAAACATGTACGAAGAAGTCTTGACAAAACATGTACGAAGAAGTCATGAAAATTCAAGAGGTGAAAAAACAGGTGAAAAAACAGGTGAGATCGCACCTCTTCACCTAAAATATATTTTTGGTTCATTTACACTCATTTCGATGAAGTCTTGACAAAACATTTACGCTCATTTCGATGAAGTCTTGACAAAACATTTACGCTCATTTCGATGAAGAAGTCTTGACAAAACATTTACACTCATTTCGATGAAGTCTTGACAAAACATATACACTCATTTCGATGAAATCATGACAAAACATATACGAAGAAGTTTATTTCCTGTGTTGTTGTCAAAATGTCATGTTGTCACCATTTTCAAAAAGATGTTAGTTGACCGAGGGACCGAGGGACCGAGGGACCTGGTGACACCTAAAAACCATCTACCCTAAAATCGTGAAAAAATGACCAAATTTCATTATATAACTGTTATTTTTTTACGAAGAGAACTTTAACACTTCGTCAAAAAAATCCCTGAAATCATGAAAAAATGACCAAATTTCATTATATAACTGTTATTTTTTTACGAAGAGAACTTTAACACTTCGTCAAAAAAACTCATGAAATCATATCTTTTATACATGAAAATCGTGAATTTCCTTAAGATACAAGATAGAAAAAATAAAGTTAGTTTTTTAAAAAAAATATTTTTTATCTTGTATGTAAGAACAGAAAATGACAAACATTGAGTTTGAAACAGTTAGAAAGATAGACAATGACACCAAAGTGGTTCGAATAGGTGATTTAAACGTAAGATACTCAAAGAAATACAAAAAATATTCTTTGTCAGACATTATATCTCCATCTGGAAAGAAAGCATTCGACTGGGTTAAAATTGCTTCAACTCAGAAAATTTTGACAAGAAATCCTGAGCTTATGATATCAGTAGCATTCTATGGAACAAGAGCATATCTTATAGACAAAAGTCTTATACCAATAGTTTTGTTATGGATTGACCCAGTTGTTGGATATAACTTCATAACATATGGTTCATTCGATACTGAACGTTGCAGTGAAGGCTTACTTTACATCGTTCAGAAACCGAAGGACTTCAATACAAAAAGATATAAGATAGGAAGAACATATAATATAACTCAAAGATATGACAGTATAGTCAATAGAGTTAAGGTTGTGTTCGTTAACGATATGAGAGCTGCAGAAACAGAACTACTTGAAAAGTTTGAGAAAATGTATGGTGCTCCCACGAAAGGTAAAGAAACGTTTGAAGTAGATGAGATAGGTAAAGCTATAAAATTATTTGACGAAGTTGCTGAAAAATACATGTAAAGCGTTTATTTTTGGTCTTTTGTGAAAGTCAGGAAATAACGCTAGTTTTTTATAAAATATTTTTTTTATTTTGTATGTAAGGACAGATATGACAACAACAGAGAACACAACAACTGCTATCGTCCATGAAGCTATAAATGAAGAATATGAGTACATACAATATAACAAACAGTTACGTCTCATTCGTTCGGTCAAAGACGATATGTACCAAATGCAAAGTATTTTGACAGCATGTTTTGCTCCAGATACTAAGCTTCCTAAAGACTGGTTTAGGAACCAAAGCACACAAGAACTTTTGAGCGAAGCACAGCGAGACATACTTTTTTCTGAAAACAGTGAAGAACAGCGAGTAGGTAAAAAACCCCAGTCGCCAAAACTCTATGAAAATCGTGAAAAATTGCCAAACGGTTTGAGAGGCTGGTATGTACATAGACTTCTCGTAAATAATGTGGCACAATGGGCTTCAGCTCGTTACGCTTGTTATATTTTCATGATGTTAGATGAAATTCACAGACAAGAACGTGAAGAGATGGAAAAGAAACTTCAAGCAAAAGATGAAGTCATTGAAGCAAAAGACAAAAGCCTTCAGAAAAGAATACCACGTTCGGTACCAAAAGGAAAGGAAAAGAACTATAAGTATATGATTTATACTGAAGAGATGGAAAATGAAGAAGACAGAGATATGGTTATGTTGCATTTAGTCAGAAGAAACAACAAAAGCTTTTACGACCTTGCTAAGATTTACAAATCTGACAGAAATTGGTTCTATCGCGAAAAACTTACCGATTTCAATGACACCAAATGAAGATGTGAAACAAATAGTTCAAGATACGTTACCTCAAACACACTATGATATTAAAGGTTGTACAATACTTACCTTCAAAGAAGATTTGCCGCTACTGAAAGAAAAAATAACAGAGTATTTTGACAACTTCAAACAAGTAGAGTAGATGAACCATTTATTTTTACGCTTGACTTCAGATGGCTCAGGTAGCTCTATAAGGTAAATTGTCTTGTCAAATCCTTCCGACATTCCAAGTCCTTCCTTCCGACATTCCAAGTTCTTCCCGACAACTGGAAAAAAATTTCCCGACAACTGGAAAAAAATTTCCCGACAACTGGAAAAAATTTTCCTGTTGTTCGTCCGTAAACCATTCAAATTTTCGAAAATTGAGAACTTTTTGGTCGAACGACAGAAAAAATTTTTCCTTCCGACAGGAAAAAAATTTCCCGACAACTGGAAAAGTTTTTCCTTCCAACAGGAAAAGTTCTTCCATCCGACAGGACACAAACGAATGTCCGACGTACCACCAACCGAGTCCATTCCAAAGCCAGAAGAACCGAAAGCTGCAGAACCACAACAGACTAAGACTAAACACTTACATTTTTACGCTTGACTTTTTACAATTTGAACTTTGTTTGCGTAGATATGAATTCTGAAAGAAGTATGAGGGTCTTGTATGACTTTGTACTTCTCCCATAGTTCATGTCTGTCAAACTTACCTGCCATGGACTCTTTCATAAGTTCCATGAAATCGTCTTCGGACAATCCGGGGAAAAGTACAATGTCAGTAAGTATTCTCTTTACATCCTTACTTAAAACTCTTTGCTGTCTGTACACAAATGACAACTGAAATGTTAAAGTGTCTGAGCTTTAAGAATTCGACACATGTCTTGTTCTCTGTTCTTTAACAAAGGATGAGAGGCGAAATCATCTAAGATAAGAAGACACCTATGAGGGTACGTTTTCCAATCGTAAGATTGCAATTTCTTCGAAATGTATTCTATCTCTTTCTGTTTGTTTCTGAAGTGTTTCTTCTCTAATATCTCTGCATTTCCTCATTTGGGTCTTTAAACTTCGAATTTATATACTCATTTATAGCATTGTACTTCAAAACTCTTCTTTGGTACTTCTTTATCCAATCTAACAACTCAGTATCCTTTATACATACTAACTTAGACTTCTTTATAATATCTTTGAACGAATTGACGGTTTGGTCAAATTGACCAGAAGTACTACAAATGACAACTAACTCATAGAATGGGTTCTTCTCATCTAGTTCTTGTTGTTGTGCAGCCATTTTAAGATAAGTGAAAGTCTTACCCGACCCAGGTGGTGCAATTAGACCTGTTATACCATTCTGAGCAAATAAGAACTTGTCATGTATGGGTTTATCTGAGCATTTCCAACTTCCTCTTGTTCTTATTTAAAACATTCTCAAATTTTTTGTCAATGTCAGCAAACTTTTTTTCTAACATATTTTTAGAAAAATTAAAATTTTTATCTTTTAGAAAATGTCTAGCGATTTCGCCATCTATATTCGAGACAAACTTTTCGACAGCAAAACATCTGTCGACCATAAAATCTTACATAGTGTAAACAAGAAAGGTGAATTTGTTCTAAAGTTCTGTTTCTGGGAATATGACAAGAACCATAAAACATTAAGCAGAGCAGTCTTAAAATTTGTCAATGACAGACTTGTTGACAGAGATGACGCCGATTGGAAAGATGAAGTCCAACAAAAGTTCTTAGAATGCAAAGAAGACACATGCACTGTTCTTGAAGATGAAATAGAAAACAGAATAGAAGAGCTATTAAAGGACAAAGAACTTTTACAAAAATATGGTTCTGAGAAGTTTGACATAACTCCACCAGAAAAGAAGAAGAGAGAAAGAAAGAAAAGAAAGTAGAAGAAGAGAAGAAAGAACCTGAACCAGAGCCAGAGAAGAAGAAATTTGACATGTAAAAATAAAATTTTATTTTTAGAACATTTCTGGGTCAATGTCAATGTTCTCTTCCTCTTTAGGAGCAAACACTGGCTTAGACTCTAAAATCTTTTTACCCAATTTACCTTGAACTTCTACAACTTTAGACTCATAATATTCATAGTCGTCTGCTTTCTTTGGTTCATAAGGTATAACAAGTTTGTATGCTTTACCTTCTTCGAGTTTTGAGAACCTTCTGTCAAAACTTTCTTTGACTGTTAACAAACCTTCTATGTCTAAGTCTTCAAATTTCGCACCATTTTTAGTCACAATAGCAAACTTAACTGGTTCGATGTTCCAAACTTTGCTGAATGAAGACTTTTCAAAATGGTAGAAGTAAACATTCAAATATGTGAATGGGTCTAGTTCTTCTTTAAGTCCTGACATGTACTTGTTTACTGAGATGAATTTTGTCATCTTTTCTATCGGATAAAAAAATATTTTTTTTAAATTTACTCAGAAAAATTTTTCTTTGTATATACACCATTCTGAACATCTAAAAGACTTTTGACATTTGCCAAGAATGTTCGTTTAGACGCTGTCATATAACCATACTCTTGACAATACTGTTTATACGAATCGTACAATGACCTTTCATCTAAACACTCAAAGTCAGTTTCATCTATGAACAGTTCATATACACTCTTGTTTGCTTCTAACAATGTTTGTCTCTCTTCGGTATGTGGAATTTGTCTTGGATTGAACTTTGAAATATCTAATGTCATAAAATATGAGAACAAGTGGTTGTAAAAGTCAGATGTCAAAGTTTCTGCTAAGTCGTCAAAATATTCTGTATCTTGCATATGAGAATCTGACGTTCTGACAACTACATATCTTCTGTCAGAACTTTCTAACTTCATCGGAACAGCATTGTTTGAAACCATAACGAAATTTGCAACATTTTCACAAACTCTTTGGTCTTTATATTTTCTTTCAACAACTCCAACTTTGTCTGTTATAAGACTCTTCAAAGCATCTGAGTTCAAAACTTTTGTTGTATCTATACTTTGAAGTTCATTGCAAACTATAAGTTTCATATTCTCTATTGAAGAGTTAAATTTACCGCAGATGTTTTCTAAGTTTGTCATATTAGGGTTCGAATAGCCCTCTAACAGTTTGCATAAGATATCTGTAAAGAAAGTGTTCTTACCTGTTCCTTGTTTTCCAATTATAATGAGAGCAGTTTCATTTTTAGCACTTGGATGTTGTAAGATGTTTGCAAACCAACATAAGATATACTCATAGACTCTTTCGTTTCCATTGCATATAATTTCTTTGACATGGTCTAACCAAGCTTCTATAATATTTTCTTTCCATTCTACTTGTTCGTATTTATATCCAGTGAAGATAGAATAGAAGTTTGGAGAAGGTGTATAGAACTTTATACCTCGAACTGAAAAATCTTCTAACTTTGACAATAAGATATCCCAAGCATCTAACATCTTCATGCCAACTTGTACGACTTTTATTTTCTTAAGTTTCTGTTTACATTCTTGTTCTGAAACTATTGTTGCTCTTGGTTTGTTAAAGACTACATCCCATTCTTTCATAACATAACATTCTGGGGCAGAGTCGACATAAATGACTAAACGTTTCAAATTCTCGACTGCTTTGTTATAGTCTCTAAATGGACACATATTTCTGAATGCTTGGAAGTCATAAAAATCTGAAACATCTATTCTGTACATTTTTATAAAAATAAAAAAAATATTTTTTTTATTCTTGACTTTGTTGTTCTTGAGCTATTTGTTGCATTTGTTGTTCTTGAGCTATTTGTTGTTGAAGTTGTTCTTGTAATACAATACTTTCACCAGTTGCATCTTCCAATTCGAAACTTTCTGCCGTCATTGACAAATACATAGGACATAAAAGTTTTACAGGAACAAAGTTTGCGTCAACTAAGGTTAAGTTTATGTTTGCTAAAGTGTTTGAGTTTACTAAAGCTGAAAACTCTGCATTCGAATGAACAATAGGCAAACCAGCAGAGAAAGTGTTGTTTATACGCATAAGTATCTTTTGGTCATAGTAGTTTCTGTCGACATTCGAATAACACTTTGAACCTAAGTTTGAAACAATATATAAAATAGGTGTGCTTAAAGTCAATGGAATAGACATTCCTTGTATGACACCTTTTCCTGTTATAGGAAACTGTTGGTAGTAAAACCAGATATAAGTTTTGTATTATAGCTCATATTGTTTATAGTAAACTCAGTCGGACATCCAAACATAATGAAACCTCTCTAGTTGCAGCACATGTTACACCGTACTTAAAGTATTAAATAAGTCAACAAAACCTGTTGGTGGTATATCTGAGTAAGTATCTTCAAAGGAGTATTTTTTACCATTCACAACAATAAAATCTTCTGGTGTCAAAAGAGCAAAACAGGCTTTAGTCGTCATTGTGTTTAAGGTTAGTTTACAATATCGTCCTTGAGGACTTTGTAAGTTTGTTGTTATAGAATTATATGACTCAGGGTTTTTAGTCGTAATAGTATAAACCATTATATCTTCTGCCATTTATATATATTTAAAAAGTTTTTCTGAAAGTGTGAGAAGAACTTCATCTAAACTTTCACATGGCGTTTCTTGAAGTTCTCTGTCTAAGAAGTTCAAATATTTTGTAAAGACATAGAACTTTCCTTTGTCTACACGAAAAACAAAACAGGGTCTTTCATATCGTTCAAAAGTGTGTAAAGTCCTTTACATGAAATAAAGTCTATATTATTTTTCTTCAAACATCTTTCAAGAAGTTTTGACATTTTTACTTAGCAAATAAATTTTAATGAATGTTGTGGTCGTCAAATATTTTTATAACGTCTGGAAAACTATATTTTAAGTTCAACGTTTCACCTCCTTTCATAACGTATATCTTGTCAATGACATTATATGAAACACCACAGCAACTAACGTCGGTTCTATTTCTTTGATGTTTATATCGTCTGCCTCTGTCAAAAGTTTCAATAGTCTTTTCAAAACTTCATGAGGTGCAATGACATATGAGTTCACTTTTACAGGGTTGTGTTCGACCAAGTTTAACATTATACCTAAAGCTTGACAAATCTTCTCCTGAGTTTGAAGTTTGTCTTTCAGTTGTTGGTAGTCATTTCGAATATCTGCAACAGAACTTAAGTCTCTGCTAACTTCAGGGTATGTTGGTTGTTCTTTTACAGGAACTATTGTTATACCATCTTGGTCTTCGTATGGTTTCCCCACTTCAACATCTCTTTCTTTGACATTGACAATAACACTTTGACTGTTTGTTTGAGTTGGTGAATTTAACTTCACATCTGCCACCGCATTAAACCTTTTGAAACACTTACGCTTCTATTTTTCGGAAATGACATTTTACTTAGAATAAAAAGATGGACGTATTCGGATATCTCTTCGAATTGAAGCAGAACAAAGTTTACACACACACAATACAAATACATTGACAGAATAGTTCTTTACACAAACAATGGAAAATGTTATAGAATAGCAGTCTTTGCTGAACCAAAATATTTTCATAAAGCAAAGAAAGTTGGTATAACTGAAATGGTGAAAGTTCTTGAAGCAGACAAAAATATAACTTCAAAACTTACAGATATTTCTAAAGGAAAGTTTATAATACAATTTTATGTCAAAACTGGCGTACTGTCAATATTTGACGGAGAGAAGTCAGTTCAAGAACAACTTACTGACCTGCTGCCAAAATCTGCTCGATGGAAGCTGTCGTTATGCCAATCTGAGGAGCCCCAGCAGGTTTCATCGAACGAATCTTCAAAAGAGCATCTTCCGTGAAAAGTGCTATTGGTTTTGTAAACTTCTTTGCTTTCAATTCATCTGGACCGTCTCTGTCACCAGTATATTGTATTTGAACTGTACCAACAGTTGAAATACCACCCATAAAGTCTTCTGAGTCAGCAAATGGAATGCCAAGCCAAAAGTTTGAACGGTCTCCATTTGTATATTGAGTTTTTTGACTTCCTGTATGGGTCCATACTTTCACATATGGCATAATAGAACTTTGCATTTCAGGGTTAATGGTTGTTGTGAAGTTGTTGTTAAAGTTCATAGCATCTAATGTCAAGTTGTATGACCTCATATCCTCAACTGTAGAATATTCTTCTCTTGGATAATATTTGCCATCTATGTTTATATGATATTTAATACCGGGGTTGTAGAAACAAGAATAGTCATTTATAGTTCGTCTGAACAGTACAAACATAGTATCTGCATGTTTCATTGCAGTTGTTAAGGCAATATCTGTTCTTGCACCTGGGTCAGCACTTTGGTTTCCAACTTCACCTGCAAAGTCTTTGACAGATATTTGGTGTATAGGGAACATAAGTGGAACTGCAATATATTTGGCAGCTAAAGCATTTGAAATATCTGGGTCCAACATATAGACTGCAAGTCTGCTTTCTATTCTCTTGCATTCAAATTTTTCGCATGTGAACCTAACTGGGTCCCAAGCAGTTCCAGCAGCATTGAAATAATACTTTACTTCAGTGTTGAGGTTTGAGAAACCAAAGTCTAAGTCAACTTTGTCTTTGCAAAATTCGGCGAATGACGTTTGATTTGCTCCCTTTACGTCTGTAAGAGTGAATGGGTCTTGCGTTGGTGCAATGACTAAGTTATTTTTGCTTGGAGTAAGTTCAATAGAAATTTTTCCTGCCCAGTTTGGCAAGTATCTTAAAAACCTGAAGATGAGGAAAGATGACAAAGGAACTCTAAGTTTCAGTTTTACTTTAGTGACAGTATAGATCCGTATTTTTCCCAAGTGAGCGGGGTATCTCCAATCCCAGCCCTATCGTCCTCCCAGTGTCAGTTTTCAATATAAAATCCAAATTTTTTTTGAAAATAAAAATTTCGAAAAATTTTTCTAATTTTTTTTCTTTGATTTCAATAATTCAAAATAAATTTGGGAGTAAAAAGACGCTATATAATGAAATTCATATGAGTGAATGTGGATAAATACTCTCAAAACATACAATTTATCTATTTTTTCTTTATATTATCAACTAATTAGTGATAATTTTTTTTGAATCAGATTTTTTTTCATTAAAAACATAATATATAACACAACAATGATGCACACATACGTATCTACATATCAAAATATAAAGCTTGTTTTGGTCTGGGCATCCCAACCCAAAATTCTTTAAAAATTGAATAAAATTGAATACTTGGGGCTGGGATACCCATCCCAAAACCGAATTGAATTTTTTGAATTAAAGAATATATTTATGTATTTATAATATACATGTGATGTCTATAAAAAATACTAAATTCTAAAAAAAATTTAATTTATTCAAAACGTATACTAAGTGATCACTTCATTAGTAGGATCAGCAATCCTACTAAATGGTGAGAACGCCACTAACTCAAAAGGGAGTCCTTGGAGCTCTTGATCTCTTGTCAGTAGAGTTCATAATGAGGCATGGCATCTACTGATTAGAGATCAGAGCAATCCTACCTTACCTTCAGGAGCTACAAAGCTCCTAATCGTTACGAGAGGGAGCCTTGGAGCTCCTGAAGCTCATCAGCAGAGGCTATTTACCATTTGGGCCTCTTCTGATGAAAGATGCGAAACACGTCTACGAACCAGGAGCTTCAAAACTTCTAATCCTTACTAAAGGGAGCTTTGGAGCTCCTGAGTCTCCATCAACAGAGTCCCAGATGGTAAATGTCCTTTGCTGATGAAAGATGCGAAACACATCTACGAACCAGGAGCTCCAAAGCTCCTAATCCTTACGAAAGGGAGCCTTGGAGCTCCTGAAACTCCTTTTACTATAAAATCGGACAGTTTTCTTCTGAGGTTCTCATCAAATCTAAGACTTCAGAAGAAAGCTGTCCTATCAATGTATACTTACACTCTCATGGACTACAAGTGTACAATTTTAAGGCAGAGATTATCCGAGGCCTCTCATCAAATGAGGGACCTCGGATAATCTCTACCTTAAGTAGTCAAATAACTTTTCTCACTATTTAGGAACAAAAGAACAAGAGTTGGAGTACTTTAAGGCAAGATTCTTCCGAAATCTCTCATCGAATGAGAGACTTCGGAAGGACCTTGCCAAATCCTTGAACGCCAATATCCTTGGAACTGAGCTAGAACCAGGGAGAAGTAGCATACTATAGAGCACGATGGTAATCTCGGAAATGCTTATATCGCCCCAAGCACAATATTTAAGAAGTCTAACTCATATATACAAGAAGTCAGGCTGAATAGATATTGTGCATATGGTTTGCAGAACTCTCATGATATTTCAAATTCATGTTATCCCAAAAAAGGTGACACTTTGGGTGTATCGTCCATCCCAGGGATGCAAAAATCACATCACCTTGGATCTATAGTGACAGCATTTCCATCTGAACCAGAAAGGTCAACATAAACTCCTGGAACGTTAGGGTCAAGTCTTCTTATTTTCTCAATAGTTGCATATTGGTCTGTTTGTTCTCTAGCTTGTGGTTGTACTGAGTTTCTCAAAGCGAACCATTCATAGTTTGCCCATGTTACTGTTTGAACTAAGTCAGAGTTAGAATATATCTTATATCCCATGAAAACTTCTGGAGCATATTGGTATCCGACATAGAAAATTCCATTGCAACCTTTCTTGTCAGACAACTTGGTAGAAGGTTTTATTTCAATGTCTTGTTCCACGTATAAGAATGAGTTGTCAATAGAAATTATATGAAACCTGTCGCAAGCAATATCTACTGTTGTTGAAGAACCTTCTCCAAACTCACCTACATTTCCATAAGAAACAGCAGTTGTATATTCGTAAGTTCCAGGAACTATTTCTGACCTTCTAATGGCATTGTCGCATTCGTTATACCATTCGGAAACATTTCCGTTCATGGCATCCAAAACTGTTGGCGTTATATTCTGAGCGGCGTACATTTCATATGGGTAAAAATATAGAATAGTTGGATTTATGTGTCATAATAGAACCCACTCGGACCAAGCTTTACTTTCTTCCTGGCTGAGTTTTTAACTCTTCTTTTTCCTTCATTGCCACTACTTTCACTAGTTGCATCTTCACTACTTTCACTTTGTTCTACTCTTCTCTTCTTCTTTGGTGGTCGCTTTTGGTAACTTGCCCTCTGCTTCAAGTTGTTGCATCTTTGCCTCATGTTCACCTAGTATGTTGTAAATTTCCCATGTCCTTTTTGCCTTTGGGCTCTGGTCGCCCATCTCAGGTAACCTATATCCTAGAAAGATTTTGTCATAGTTTGTATTTGAGTCTTCGCGTATTGTTTGCATGACTCTTTCCTGAGTTTCCGGTTCAAGCTCTTCAAACAGAGCTTGTCCATATGGAATAAGCTCGTTTCCAAATATATGTTTTTGTAGCCATTCTGGTTTTCTTTCCATGTTACCAACAATATCTTTTGTGAATGGGAAAGCTTTTACCCAATGTTTCAGTCTTGCGTCATTTATTTCTGTAGTTGGTTTTATTTTGTCAAGGAACATGTTTTTCAATACTAACATTTCATTTGGTACTGTCCATTTGAGTTTTCTTAAATATTCATCCCTTCTCGGTTCATTGTCTGCAAAGTAAGTTTTTATGACATTTTGTAAACTTTCGTTTGCAAGGTCATGTACAATAGGTTCTCTTCCTTCTGTCTCCCTAACTTTCTTTCTAAACTCTTCACCAAATATACCATCTTTATGGTTCTGTGTAGTTCTTTGAGATAAATGTTCTAGAACGTCAGGTGTTATATTTCCATCAGCCATGTTCATTTCATACTGGTTCAAAATATCTGCATCTTTCATATCTTTCAATGGCATTAAAGCCGCGCTGAAAATACCAGCTAAATCTGGTTCACCATTCATTTCCATTGCGTCTACAACATCTTGGAATTGTGGTTGTAAGTTTATGAACCACCTATCCGGGTTAGCTTTATGACCCCATCTCATTGTAGTTCCATAGTCTGCAGAAACAAAAGTAGGTTTGTTTCCATATTGGCTAGGTTCTGAATGAACTTTAAACAATGTTTCATTTCTATATGTTTTGTTGAAATTTAACCTTTTATTTTCACCGAGTTCAGCCAAAGATTGAACGTTATATGGTCGTAAGTAAAAAGGGTTGTTGTATTTGCGTACATTTTCTTTCAGTACTTCCATTCTATGCTGAATATTTTCATCTGGTGTTGGAGTCTTTTGTATGTCGGCAAACATTTTTCGATATTCTTCTACTATGTCAGCCGAATTTTTCTTAGACTCTTGGAAAGATTCCATATTCACCTCATACTCTTGTTGAGGGTCAAGATTTTTCGGCTGTTCCAAATCTTCATCTAGTTCTGTGAAGTTAGTTTCCAAAGGAGGGACTTGTTCGTTTCCTTCAGGCTCTTCTAGTTGTTGTTGCTGAACTATTTCTTCCATGTCTGGTTGTATCTGAACTTCTTCCTGTGGAGTTTCTTGTACCTCATCTGCTGGCATTTCATATATTCCGAGACCGTTTTTAACAAGTTCCCTATCTAAGTCATCCGGACTCATAAACCTTTCTTCTTTCGTTCCGTCTCTATTTTTTACGCGTTTCATGAAGAGAGTTGAATTGTCATTTAGCTCTGACACCAAATATCTCGGAGTAAATTCAGTCATGTCATTTGGATGATATGCTATTAAATCATATCCCTTAGCGAGCTTGTATTTTCCAGGTTTGAAATTATATCCCATTTGGTGCTGAGCCATAAAGATAAATAGGTTCGGGTCAGTATTTCCTTCCTTGAACTTTCTAATAGCTTCTTTATATCTGTCACTAAAGTCAAGAGTATCTGGGTAACCATAGTCTTCTTTAAGCATTTTTAAGAAATCTTGGTTTCCTTGTTCTCTACTTCTTTTATGTCCTTGCTCTGTTTGTGGTTGTTGCTGTGCAGTGTTTTGCTCTGTTGGTTGTGGTGCAGTGTTTTGAACTGTTGGTTGTTGTGTTGGTTGTGGTTGTTGTTGTGGAGGTGGTTGTTGTGTTGGATTTTGAACTGTTGGTTGTTGTGCTGGTTTTGGTGCATGCCTGTGTCTGTGTCCATGTGACGATGTAAATGTTTTAGGTAGTCCTGGTGCAGGTGCTTCTCTTGGAGGGTTTGGTGGTATATAGGTTCCACTAGCTAGTATATAAGTTCCACCAGCTGGTATATAAGTTCCACCAGCTGGCACATATGTTCCATCTGCAGCATAATGTCCTACCTGACTTTTCGTTTTTAAGAAAGCATTTACTAGGTCTGTTTTGGTCTGTTGTAACTCTTTTTCTTGACTTTCCACAACAGTTGCTCTAACGGCGTCATAGGCACTTTGAACTGCCTGTCTCGTTGCTGCATCTGTTATTTTCGTCAGATTTTGTGCTACTTCTTTTAACTCTTTGTCGAAACCTTCAGACTTCAGTTTCTTTCCAGATGAGAAGTCGTTCACTAGTTTCACCTTACTATGAAGAGCTTCGAAGGCGTTCTTAAAGTCAGCATTTGTTAAAGCTTCATTTGAACTGTCTTCATCCGCTTGTATTTTTGTCCTTATTGACCCTATAAGCTGGGCTGCTTTAGCGTTGGCTTGGGCATCTAACCAGTCATTGTTAGCTTTTATATATTCTGCGCTTTTCATTGCCTTTTGCATGGCTGCGTCGTTATTTTTACTTTCTTGTGCTAAGTTTTCATACTGTACGGTTTGGTTTTGCAACTGTAAAAGTTTTTCTGCCTTTACATTTGCTTCAACTTCTTTTTTATACTCATCGCTATCCATATATGTCTTCAGGGCTTTTTGTTTTATCTCTTCATCTTTCAGTACTTTATATTGAGTAGTATGGTTTTTCAAATTTACAACATCTTGTTCCATTTTTGCTACTTCTGCTGCTTTTTCTGACACTTTTTTCGCATATTCCTCTGTACTTAGTTCTTTCAGTTGTTCTTCTTTCTTCTTTTTCTCTACGTTTAACTCATTGAGTTTCTTTGTGTGTCTGTCATATTCTAGTTTCTTTTCGTTTTCACTTATTTGCTTCTGTATGTCTATGTTTGACTTTTTGACATCTGATATTTGATTTTTGAGTGAACTCAAATTCATTTGACTTTGAGGGTTATAAGCTGTTCCGTCTGCAGCTCCACCATAGCCTGCCATTTTCGCTAAAAGTGCCGCTCTTAAACCTCCACTCTGTGCACCAAGAACTCGGTTTAAAAGCATAGGGTTGCTTGACATTTGTTGCAACATAGTGGGGTCATTCAGCATTTGTTGTTGCAACTGTTGTTGTGGTGTCAGTTTTACTATTGGATGTTTCAATGCTCTCTTCCTCTTACGTATATTCTTACGTAGCTTACGTGGCATTTTAAGTGAAGTTAAAAAGCGGTTTTCGACAGATGTTTATATGACACTTTTTGTTCAGCACAAAAAACTACTCGGTCAAACTGTTGTCACCGGCTGGTCGGCTGGGGTTCGGTCCTCCTCTTGGGTCTTGTGTCCATTTCTTAGGGCTAGAAGGGGCGCAGCCCCTGGAAGCCCCTCATACCTGACCTAATAAAGTATTTTCTTTACACACACATTGTATATCATAGTTTTTTTTTTGGTTTCGCAAAACATCCAAAAACAAATATGCTATAAAAGTGACAATTTTAGCAAAACGAAACCCTTACTTGTAATCAATGTTCGAACATTACCATTAAAGGAATTTTTACTTTAATTAAATTTAAAAAATATAATTTGTGACTAAAAATAACAAACAAGTTTAATACAAACAAAATAGTATACAAATATACAAAAGAACTATCATTTAACGAATATTTCAATCTGAGATTTGAAATTTATGATAGTTATAATAAAGGAGCTCTATTTTGAGAGCTATGCAGCGAAGTAGAGTGTGGTTACATGACTATAATTCACTTTGTTTTCAATTGTCATTGTGCGAAGTGTACTCCTTAAGATTTGTGAAAAATTGCCTTTATTTATGAGATCAACAATGTGTTTTGGATGACGTTTCGCATTTAGAATAGCAAACTCTAGATTCTCATATGTGATTCCGTTATGAAATCTACTTAATGTATTATGAATGTATGTTTCAAAATCGCTGAATTTGTTTGCCTTCTTGGCAAAATTTGATGGTAAAATGACATTTTCTGGGAATAATTGAGCAATATGGCTTTCTTCATATAATGGATCATTTTCAAGAGGATCAGATTTGTCATTATGAGGATCTAAATCGTGTAATCCTTTCTTGCGTGATTTTTTTTGGTTGGGTTGTCAAAAACATCTTTTTTGACAGATAAACGTGAAAAAATACTATAAGCTGAAATTGGATTTGATATATGTGTTGACATTAAAATTTTTGAGTGAAATTGATTAATTTCATTCACCCAACTAAGCAATACATCAACGCTGGAATTACTATTATATCTAAATCCACATTTGGATAACAAGGCATATGCATATTCTTTGCACATTTCATATTGACGTGAATCTTGATGCATTGTGTAAATGTCTTCAAATGTAATACCAGCTTGATAGTCACGTGAATGGGTTTTCCAGTCAATATCGTATTTTTTATGAATTTTGAGTGTTAAATTACATTCTGCAATAGATGTTTCGGTTGTTGACAAATCATACTTAAAATGAGCCATGACGCGAAGTAAACCATTCAAATGTTCTTCCGTCATGGTTGTCAAATGAAAAAATTGAAAAATGTTGAATTAATACTGAAAAAATATTGGAAACAAATGATTGTTGCTGTAAGATGCTTTACAACTTCCCAAGTTCCCATATAATAGACCGGATAAATGTTTCCGTCTATTTTGACAACACCAAGATTTGTCTTAATGTGACGGTCTCTCATTTGAATGCAATGATGTACCAAGAGCAGATATGCAAACCACATCATTTGACATCTTGTGTCAGCATTAAATGCCTCATTTCGTATGCTTTCATACCAGAATGCAAGTGGAGCTATGAATAATGCTTCATTATAATAGTTTTTTTCTAGAAGCGCCTTTACAGCTCTAATTGAAAATATTGTGATCGGATATTTATCTTTTATCCTTCCCAGAGGTGAAGTATCATTAAGAGCATCACCTAATTCGATTGCATCTCTGATCTTGTTAACATCAACAATTGTATTTAGATCAGATGGATGAACTAAAAGCTTAAGTGTTGCATCGAGTAATCTGGTACGTTCAAGTTTTGACATATGTATGAGATCATTAATCCATACAACTTGATCTCCTTTCTTTAAGATAGCAGTAGCTCTTTTAAATATTTCTTCGGGATCATTACCTTGCAAAATTTCATTAATAAATTCATCTTGATGCTTATCATATCCGGGATCTCCATCAGTAATGATGACTCTAACTCTTAAGTGCTTTCGTATTTCTTCGATTGCTGCATCAATTTCGTGGATAATTCCACTTGCAAACCCATTGGCATGTTCTATAACATGTAATATAACATTTGGCGCATCAAAATTTAGGGGCATACCAAGAAATATGAATAAGTATTTGATTTCTTCTCCATTTTCATCAACAGGACCTTTTTGGTCTTTAGAGGACCGGGTAGAGAGTGCAACTGCATCTATTGCTATTGCCCATTCATATTCAGGTGTATTTTCTACGTGATAGTTCATGCTTTCTAACATTCGCGGAATGAGCTCAGCATGTTTAACAAACTGTTTCATATTCATTATGTCTTCATGAAACCTATTGTACAATGTTACAGGCGTAGAAAAAGGTAAACAAAATTCCAAGAGAACACTATATGCTGCTGGTGATTTGCTATGTATTAAGAATGCCAAATCTACCAATTCATTTTCACCTCCATATCTATAACCTCTTTTATCTTTTCTACAAATGTTTTCCATAATAGTATGAGTTAGTATACAAGTCTCGTGTACTGAGGCACTGCGTTCCTCCGTACGCAATACTTGTGAATTTGACACTTTACAAAACCGTTAACGTATATTTTACAACACAAACACAAACACCAACTTAACCTTAAATATTTATAAAGCCGCCAACCACTTCACCTTACTACTGTAAAAATAAACGTTCTCACTTACAAAAGTATTGCAACTCCTCCCATTGCTGTGCTTCACATAACAGTTCATATTCTTCTGACTCACTTTCTTCTTCATATAGGTCAAAATCACTGTCAAAATGAATGTTAGTAAGTTTTGACAAAGCTAATGAAACACGCTTACCGTTTGTATCGTATGCTTGTATAAACTTTCCATTCTTCATTCCTTCATAAACGCTCAAACTAACTTTACCCTTTCTCCCTCGTATCTGATAGAATGTATTTTCACGAGGAACGAAGAACAAATTCTTGAACTCATGACCGTTGTAGTTTGTTATCTCAATAGTTTTCGTCATTTACATCCAAATAAAAATTTTCAGTAAACTAAAAATAAACTAAAAATTAATGATATCACCACCCTCACACGTATGAAAACATAGCACAAAAATAAATTTAGGTGAAGTGGTGAGATATCACCTGTTTTCTCACCTGTTTTTTCACCCACTTGAATTCATTGCTTTATAACTCTCTTCCTTGGTTTCTTTTTAGTTGCTTTCTTCACGTCTGTCTCCAACTTGACTGTCTTTCTTCTTCGTCCGTAATGATACCAGTTACTTCCACCAGTCAATGGGTCAAATGGTCTTTCGTAAGGGTTTCCATACATTCCATAGGGACCATACGGAAGAACTACTGGTGGAGGAAGAGTTCCATCGACTCTATTTAAATGCATTGTTTCACCTTTCATCTGGTCATTAAAGTCTTTTGCATGTTTTGCAAACTCATCGTCCTTTCCTAAAGCATTTTCTGACTCAGTCGCAACCAAATTGGATGCTTTATTTATGAGCCCGATTTTATTTAATCTTAACTTCTTTGCAACCCAGCCTCCAATCTTTCCTTTATTTGCATCTAATGTCTTCGAAACCTTCCTCCACTCATTTTATTTACTGCGTCATAAGCTCCAAGTGCTTTTGCTCCAAATGCTAATGCTTTTGTTCCCATTGCGCCTAAAGCTGCCCAAGCTACCATTTACACCATATTAAAATCATCTCTC